AAATATCTACAGTCCGGACATGCTTCCTGTCCAGATCTGGTCCCACAAAAACCTTAAAGTGTCCCACCTCATAAACAACCTACAATAAGTATGACATTTTTAATGGAAAAATACTGGCATAGGGTTTTGTCCGATGGTCCGGCGGTGGCTTTAAGTTTTGTTTAGAGAGAGACATGAGAAAGAGGTAAAATGCAAAGCACAAAAGTGGCATTTATTGTCTTCCATACAGACACGATGAGACACCAACACCAACAAGCAACAAACTTACACTTAAAGCAACTAGCTGCCTTATATACACTCCCTACTGCAGGTAATTAAGTGGACAAAACCACATAGGTGGGACCACCATCATGTAGAATAATAAATATTTACCTAACACCATAGAAAAATAGAGCGCAAAGAATGAATATTTACATAAATACAAATTTATTTAAAATTTAAAAATGAAGAAACAACCAGGAAGAGGCGAGTACTTAGATTGTTTGCTTTATCTGTTTAAACTAATTTGATAACTAACTGGAATGGAGTAGAAGCACTCAATACTATGTTGTGAACCTTGACTATCACTGACTGAGGTTTCTTTCCACACAGGCAGGATGGCCAGATCTCCATGTGTTTCCGCAACTCCCTCTGGAACTACTCACAGCAAAGACAGTTTCACAATTTACATAAATAATCAAAATAACAATGTGTATGGCTCCTGCTTTATCAATAATCCCCACCTTAATACTCAGTTGACTATTTCAGGTAATGGAACCCCTGGTCTCCATTACAGGGTTATAATGGTTATGTTATTATGCATTTTGAAGATGAGAGCTTCGTGGGCAGTAAATGAGACCATTAAAAGCTTTCCAAAACTTTTCCATGCTTGGTGACGAAAGGCCAGTATATCCTTACCTACACTGATATTATTAACACACTTTGCTTTTTACTCCATATGGAAGTAGGATGTCAATGCATTAGAAATTCAATATGCAAATAATGAACAGAGCATGTAAACAGAACTAAACAAATTATGTTGCCACCATGTTATAGCCCCATTTTAATGTCTTGACAATGGCGTCGCCAGGGGGTGGGGGGGTGGGGGGGCACGGCCACCCTAATAAAATTGGTGGCCACCCCAGTAGCCCCCCCAGTGAGGGGCATATGCATAAAATGCTATATACTGTGCTTAGCAGCATATAAGTGTTGTCATATTAGGCAGGGTCACTTTAAGAGGGTAACCACTGACCCTGAGCTGTGCTTTCAGACCAAAAGCGAAGCGAGCGTTCTGGGCGGTGAATTTACATACAAAGTCAGTGCAAAGACGGGTAGAGCCGCGATTTTCTATCGGGCAGCACGAAGGGGGCGGTGCCAGCGTGTGAATTGAAAATTTCCAACTCAATCGAATTTTCGTGGGTTCTAATCGCCTTCTCGCGTGGTGTGTGAATACTTGCAGCAAATGTACTCACGCGAGGAATGTGTTGCGAGGATTAAATTCGCGTTTGGTCTGAAAGCGCCTTCGATTATGTAGATGCATGTCACGTTTCTAAAAGTGTGATTGGTTAAGGGGTGTACCTAACAGGCAGAGAAGAGCGGAGTTACGGGTCGGCCTGCTGCTTCTAGCCTGTGTTTTTCTGTGGAGGTAATACCGACAAGCTGCAGAAGGCAGAAAGGTGTAATTTAATTTATATATTTTATATAATTTACAGTTAGTAGCCTGGCTAGTTTATAATACGTTTCACACACTGCTACAAAGGTTTGTGTACTGTACTGTGTGTAAGAGCTATAGGAGACTGCAGAGAGCAACAGCACCATCGCCAACAGCAAGCTAACATCAAAGGGACACTGTCCCACGGACAGTGCATGACCTGATAAGCACCTTTGGCTTCGAGGGAGACCATCCTGTGACTGTTCATCTTCATCTTTCTGAGAGGATTGCAAAACATGAGAACAGCGGGAGTCATCTGGACGATGCTGTGAAACTGGGCTTAACGTTCACTGGCCAACACAGGCGAGCCATTGAGCAGAATAACAAACAGGTGGAGGAAACAGCTAAGAGCTCAGTGACAGTGGGATCATAGAAGTTTGCCCAGAGGAAAACCACCTGCTACTGAGGCCTCCGCTCTGGTGACTGAAAGCATCTTTTATCATTCTGACTCTGTGCTGCATTTCTGTGCATGGGCCATATTGTTGTGCTGTATCGATTGATACTAGGCTGTGGATTGCAGTTGTTGTCATGATGTTGTTGTCATATAGTCGCTTTCATGCTGCTTTATTATCCAAGATTATTATGCCAATATGCCAGCTTGCTGCCCTGTATGAACGGAGCTGGAAATGGGATATATATTGGCGGACATTCTTTCTGTTTCGATTGCAGGATCTTTGTGGAAAGCGGTTATAGGGTCTGGATCCCTAAAACGTTGTCTATGCCCGTTGCTGGTTGACTTCAGTGGTGTTGAGCTCACTGCTGTTTGCTTATGGCCCTGTAGGCTCATTTGTTCTGAGCTTGGTTGTTTTGGCTTAAATATTGCATTCTTAATTTAGGTTTGTGACAGTGGTACTGTAACTTGTGTCAATGCACTACTCTATCTCTCTGTCAGTGGAGCCATGCTGTTTGTTGACATTAAAAACAGTAGTAAGAGAGTATTGTAGTTTTACTGGCATCTATGTTTTGAAACCATTTTTATAAAATAGTATGGTTAAAAAATAATTACACAACTCTGTACAGACACACATTGTATCTTCCTATTAAATAACTATATAATCTAATATTTTTGCTCCACGATGTCTGTAATCTTGAGTAGGCTTTGCAATCAGTGCACTCCTACAAAAGCAGTAGTTGTTTTTTTAAGGAAAAGTTCAAGTAGTGTATTTGAAGAACAATTACCTAACACATACAGATACATAAAATACAATAAAATAGGATTTTTATGGAACTAAAAATGTTATTAGTCTATGGACATTAGACAATTAGTATCATTAACTGTAAAATATGTGATTCCATAACTCATATTTTACATAATGACATAGTTTTGTCATTAGTCTATATACTGCATAATAGAATTATTGAAATTCAGTTATGACTTTCGGTTTTAGTGTGCCACCCCAGGTTTTTCAGTGGCCCCATCTGGCCACCCCTAGGAAAATTTTCTGGGGGCGCCACTGTGTCTTGGGGAAAGAAAGAGAAACACAAATCTTGTTTGTTATCCTACAGGTCACTCTTCTCCATTAGCGGGTCATATTATGACCTGAAAAGCAGACTTTATGATGGACACTTAAAGTCTTACCGCTCACTGGCGACCAAGCAGCAGCAAAAATATCCTCTTTATGGAACGACAAAAACATGGGACCATACGTATGGGCCTGCTATAAATCATCATTAACAGTGAAATGTCCTCTCGTTGACTCGTCCTAAAGTGTGCACCCAGTCTGTCTGATTTACAAGCAGCAGTGTGACTCGGTGACGGTTGGTCTCTGTGTATCACTCAAACTATTCTGGCTCAGAGATTTGGTTGCATATGGTTGTAACCCAGAGCTCATGACCTTAACCCCTGTCACCTGTTGGGTTTTTGCCCTGGTACTGTTAAAAGAGATCAGGCTGCTCTGTACATTTTTTGAGAGTTCTTGGTTCATGACATTAACGAAGGCTATTGAAGACCTAAAGCATTTCTATTATCACAAACTGTTCTACCTGACTACACACTTACACCATTTAGCATAAAAAGTGTAACTTCTAAATGCTGTTGGCGCTTTTCAATTCAAAACTTTTCAGATGGTAAATTGTCAAATATATACTGTACATATAGAAATAAAAAACTAAAATGATTTGAATAAGATGAACCAAGCTTTATCCTACAGGTCAACAAGCCAACATGTGTCTCCAGTATTAGACTATATGAATGAAATTATTACAGTTGTTAATCCTGCTGCAGGACAGAAAACAGATGATGCATGACCATGTCTGAACCCTCCAGTGCTGCTTTATGAGAACAAGCCACTCTCTCTTTATTTGTACTAAATTCTTGGCAACAACTTGTTGTTGTTGCTGATGTAGGAGAAGAAACTCTTTTGGCCTCCGACCCCCATTTCACCCACAATGATTCTCCAAGTGTGCATGTGACCTATTTATAGCAGCAGTGAGGGAGTTTTGAAGCATAGCTCTCACCAGTGTATGATGGTATGTGCTTTAGAAACGGGTCCATTCACACCGCACTCAAGTCTGTGTGTGTTTGTGGCAGCTGGTGGAAACCAAGCAGTTAAGGTGGCAACGTCAGGCAGAAAATAGCAGGTCTGCATCGATACACTGGGTAACTCATGTCATAGCAGCGATTGAACAACAGCACAACACAAGGAGAGAACCTACGCAGACACGGGGGGAACATGCAAACTCCACATAGAAAGGCCGGAGCAGCCAGGGTTTGAACCACTGACCTTCTGTTGACAGTGCTAACCACTGTACCACCGTGCTGCCTGCAAACCAAAGTGTGCTGATCAAAACATATGACATCCAAATACTTGAAATCCATATCCATAACACATTTTAAATTCACACTTGGTGAACTAATGCTGTGATGTATACTGAAACACCAGTCGTCTTGTAAGAGGTTATGTGAATACTAACATGGTCTGTCTTTGAATCTGTGACCTATGTTGAGCTGCTGAATGAGTTATACATTTTTTGGCAGTAGTTCTGATTTATATCACGCTATCCTCACTTGCCTCCAGCAGTGGGTATATAGCCAGAAAGCTGGATGTGAGCAGAATAAATACCATGTATCTGTGATAATGAAATGGATGTTATTTTTGGCCCCTTGATGATCACAGCAGATCTGATATCTGAATTAAACTTTAATACTGACATAACACTCATTTGCTGCACATCAGTTTATTCACATTTCACAGTCAAAAATAACTAAGTATTTGGATGTTTGTGTATGTAAATTTTTCTACTTTTTGTAGCATATCTGAATAAACAACATACAAGCAAATGATGAATGGGAAAACTTGCAAAGTCTCCTGATTATGCTGCTCTAAACTGTCTATTTTGCCTTTTAAGTTGTGTAGAGTTGAGCAATGCATTGTGCGTGCTCCACATTTACAACAAACAGTAAGATAAAACCAAGTGTCACCCAAAACATTTCACATATTTAAACTGCAGAAAGAGACACGTTTATATGAGTCTGACACAAGGTTTTATCTTTTGACATCTTGTACCTCACAGTTTTTTTACTTTAAGTAAATTGCTTGTAAACAAAACACATCCTAAGTTATCTGCATCCTTATGTCCCACAAATATGAGATTTCATCAATGTCAAAACTATTTAGCAAGTGCAAACAAATTTGAGTATTATAACTTTTCAGAAAGTGCAAGAGCAGATTTGTAGACACAAAACAGTGCGAACAAAGAACTGTGAGCATGGTTAATGATTTGATACCATGAGAGGAATTAAGACTTGTGATTTAAGTGAGAAGTGGAGCTTCCTTTGCTTACTATCTTCAAAGTTGTATCTGTCACATGCAAACTCATAGTGAGAGTAAAATGCGTCACCATATTGAAAAAAATGCAGATTTAGCTCTCAACAGTTGTTCTACACTAACAAATCTGTCCCTGTTCTCTCTCAAATCTTGACATGCAAATTGATCACAGCTTTAATCTGTTGTGTTCACTCAATAGTTTTGTCCCTCATAGCCTTCTGTAATCATTCAAATATTTCTACAGCCATGTGATTCCTGAGTCTTGGATACAAACACAAAATGTCCTTAAATCTTCAGGTCATCCAGCCTGCTCTTGTTTGTGCTGTGTTTGCTTGACTGACTGTAGCGGCGCACATTTTCAACGGGCATCTCAAAAACAGGGCTGGAGATTTTCCCCTCCTTCACATCTTCCTCACCCTCTGCTTTACCTTTTCTCTCCACAGCCATGTTGTCTCTGTTCTGCTTGTAAACCACTTTGCTGTTGTAGGGGCTGTAGGCAGAATTCGGCTCCGCCATGCTGTACTTTGTGTCTGTAGGGAAAGGTTCAGGCACCGCAGGATGACCGCCAAAGTAGTTATAGTTTGGGACAAAGGGCATGACCGCCTCAGTTAGGGCCTTGGGATTCTCACTTGCAGCATGTGATCGTCTGTAACGAAGGCCCTGGTGGCACTTTGTGAAACCGAGATGGTACATTTCCACCAGGTTGAGCAGCAGGGAGATGCAGGCCACAGCCAGCATGAACAGGATGAAGATCGTCTTCTCAGTGGGTCGAGAGATGTAGCAGTTCACCACATTAGGGCAAGGCCAGCGGTCGCAGGTGTACATCGGCTTGAGCTCAAAACCATATAGGAAGTACTGAGCTACAATAAAGGCCACTTCAAACAGGGTCTTAAAAACAATGTTGAAGACGTAGGTTCTCAGCAGTGCCCCTTTCAAACGCACATGGCCCTGGTTGTCTTTAATTGGTTCCTTCTTGGCCTTGTTGCCAAGTAACTGCTGCTGCTTTTCATTCTGGATGGCAAAGTTCATCTCTTTCTCTTTCTCCTTTTCCTCCATGCGCACCAGATGAAGGATGTGGCCCAGATAAATGAGAGTTGGTGTGGAGACAAAGATGATCTGCATGACCCAGAAGCGGATGTGAGAAATGGGGAAGGTCTTGTCATAGCAGACGTTCTGGCAACCGGGCTGCTTGGTGTCACACGTGAAGCCGGACAGCTCGTCGCCCCACACCTTCTCAGCGGCGGCTCCCAGCACCAAGATTCGGAAGATGAACAGCACTGTCAGCCAGACTTTGCCCACAACGGTGGAGTGTACCTGGGCACTCTCCAGCAGCTTCCCCAACAAGTTCCAGTCCGCCATACTGGCTCACAAATATACTCAGTTCTGACCACAAAACCAGGAGACACCCCTATAAAGAGAGGGGACAAATGTAAAGTGTAAACTAACAAGCTTTATCGGAGACAATTTTATTTTTACCTGGATGAAATAAACAGTAATGTGGCAGACTCATTTTAGTAATTTAAGCAGTATGTCCTGAAGCTACACATCGGGCCTTTCCTTTTAAATCGTATTTTTCTATCTTGTTGCTGAAATGCTGAAACTTCCAAAAATACACTCTAGGTTACATAGTAAGGTTGAGATATTTAAACCTTCATTAACTGATTTTTGACCACTCTAAAACACTTTTGACACTTGTGTTTATGTTGTATTATATATTATCACCTTTTAAGTTGATATGGCAAACTTGTTAGCTAACAGTTGCCTTCAGTGTTTACACATCCAGCAGATGCAGAGCAACATTAGTGTTCATTTGGAGTTGTGCTTCTGTCAAGCTGGTTCGAATGTTTGAAGTCCAATATTCGCTCTCCTTTTAATTCTGTTTTTAGTCTCAACCAGCTCCTGAGGGAAGTATCTGGCTATTTAAGTGCTAAACGTGCCACAATGTTCACTAGGTGGGCTCTAACTTTGTCTGTCGGTAGCTGAGCAGGTGGCGTGGCCTACGGTGGGTTTTCGAAGTTTTTTTGTTGAAAACAGCTGCCTCCTGGGATAGTGACCATGAACCAAAACAGTGAAGTTGTAGGCTGTGAAACCATAACAATTAAAGGAGGCTAAAATGCTCCATAGAGCTGAGGCAAACTGTCGGGGCGGGGTCCATCTAAAACGAATGATCCGTTTCACATTAAACATTGTCGTTTGATTCATTGTTATAAAAATATTGTTTCTAGCAGCTTTAAAGAAACATTTAGAAGCAATAGGTGACAGCAGGAGCCTACTAAACCTGATATCAACTACAGAATCTTGCATTTTAATGTAGGCACAGTACATGTCACACACCTAAATGTAGGAAGCATGATGTAAAATTTCATCTAGTGAAACGGTTTGCAGACACCCCACAACCAATGGCTACTGGAAAACCAAGAGAAGACTTACCAACAGAAACACTGATTGAACATGAATTCACTGTTTGTATTCCCAAAGGTTGTGTTCCATCCAGTGTTCGTTGATAAAAAGGGCCAGGACACAGCTCACTGTGTGTGAGAGAAAGCCCTGGAGCAGGCTGGGGAGACTCTTAGCGTCGGCATAGATCTTGTGACACAGTACCAAACAGTGCTCCCTGACTCCAGAATTAGGTTTCTAGCTTAGATTTCAGGGCCTATTAGTTACAACATAGCAAAAAATAACTTCAAAAATAGTTGTACTTGTCCTTCAGAAATCATCAATCACCTAAGACTGTGGATCGGAGCACCTGTTTGAAATATATAAAGATTGTCAGCCAGGAATGAAAGAATCCCGAAAACTCTTTTGGCGCAGTAGTTGTTTTAAGTGTACTTAAAACTGAGCTTGGATTTTATAAGTTTAACTTTTAAATATTATATACATCCTGTATATGGCCAAATTAACTTCAGAACCCTAATAAAGTTTTTAGATTGATAAGTAAGACATACAATGCAATCATCTTGGGTTTCTTCATTAAGAAAGACATACCTGATAATGGTCATCTCCTACAGCAGTGCAGATCCAGAATCACTTGGTCACTGAGCCTCTTCAGTTCACAGAGAGGCCATGTTCTCCTGAACCACTGAGGAGACTGCAGCACCAAGATAATCTTCTGTCAGATAGTTTTCACTGGAGGCTCTATGATCCCGCCTGCCGTCCTCCCACTCTGACCTGATCAATACGCGGTTTTCAACAAATCACCACAGTGCGAGCACAGATGAAAACATTCCCTCTTGAAGAAAATAAAAAAAAAACTCGCTAAAGAAGTGTTTCTGTTCAGCTGAGTGGCAGAGCAAGAACCCAGTGAGGATGCAGGTTAGTCTTACATGTCAGTGTGCTCTAAATATAATTCACAGAGAAGGGAGTGGCTTCGTTGTCACACTCATGGGGATCTGACCCTTAACTGTGTAGAGGAACGTCAGGCACTGTAGAGCCATCCCTCAGTGCTACAGTGAGCGTTACCGCTTATACAGAGAAACATGTACAAGCATGATCCTGTTCTTTCTAAAAGTTCTTCACTCTTTGTGTCAACTCAAAGTTTAGCTAAATGCTTCATTTACGGCGCTCTGGTGCAGGTCACACTACAGTGGTGCAAAGTAACTAAGTGCATGTATTCAAGTACTGTGCTTAAGTACATTTTGAGGTACTTGTCTTACTACTTTACTTGAGTATTTCCATCTTCTGCTGCTTTACACTTTATATTCATTATATTTCAGAGGGAAATATTACATTTATTTGACAGCTCTTGTTACTTTTTTTTCCTGTTCAGGTTTCATCCAAAACACACGATCAGCCTTAAAATATGTTGTTGTTACAGATTACACTGTCAATAAAGTCATACAATTATGTACACATTGACAGTAAAAAGCTGCATAGACTTGATAGTATCAGGTTACTTAATATTAAAATGAAGTCAAATTAAAGTAAAATAAACAGTCACCACTGACACTAATCACAGACAGGATTAACAGATTGGAGGAATTTGTGTTTGGTACAGTTACAGATGGTGTGTGCTGACGACTTCCATAAAAAGAGAAGTTCCCTCATGCTCGGCCACGGCAGGTCCAGCTGTCTGCATGGGTCAACTATTGTCACCCACACACTGACCCCTTACGTGGCGAGGCTATTGATAACCCAAAACCCTGCACTCTGGCCTTCAGAAGGAGAACTTAATCAGCCTGAGATGTTTTCTGACAGGTGGCATCCCGGCTCCGAGGATCCCTCGTCTAAAGATGGTGACGGCACCGCAAAATATGTGATGAAGTTTCATTCATGTTTTTCTGTTTTTTTTCTCACAGTAACACTGCTGACAGCTGAGAAGAATCACAGGAAGGGGCACCGCTGTGACCACAGCTTAATTTGTTCTTTCTGATAACTGCTGCTGTCTATTTCCACATAGTCAGGAAATCCTATCAAAACACACCAGAACAAATTTAACTTATTACCATATTATATGCTGGAACACAATTTGAGAAGCCATAGACAGTTCATGCGAGTCATGTCCACATGTGTTATCCTTTCTTTTTAAATTTGTTAATCATATCTTGGTTTTGGTAAAAAACTTAAAAAATTACACAAACTCTGGGTGATTTTATTCTGCTGTGACATTATATATACATCCCGCTTCAATATGAATGAATTTAAATAACGTGTAGCAACTGCAATAGCAAAAAGTAGTAAACTTCAGAAAACAATTAGCAATTCAAGTTTTTTTTGGTTGTTGTTGTCAGTTTTTGCTATGTTTCTATCTGAAAGATCCATTTATTACCTAAAGTAAAGAATCCATATTAAACAAACACTGTATTATTTAAAATTTATGAAATGCAACATGTTTTCCACGTATTAGTGTAACAACTCACTTACAACAGCTAAAGAAAAGCCATAAATCCTCCAGTCCATTCGATTCCAATTCATGGTGACTTTGGCAAAAGCATGATGTTTGTGATCACATCTGATGTAAATAAAAGAATATTATAGCTTAAAATCCCATAAATATCACAACATCATATTTCCAACACATGTTTCTGACACAAGCGGATTATTTCAAATAACGTGTGTTAAGAAGTGACATTTCATAATTTAAATAATTTCATTTCAAGACAGAAAATCTTCCAATCTTCCAAAATCTGACATGACAGCTTATAATGTGATCAGTTGGAATATTGCTTCATAAAATGTTAGTTAATTTGTATTACATCAAGCTATTATGTTATACCAATACAGTGCTGCTGTGTACAGTTTTTTTCATTCATGGCAGAATGTTGATACAGTAGACAGTACTTCCTGTAGGAATCCTTTGAAGTATGACATTAAGTCTGCGACGAACATGCTAAGAACATGTGTATTGTACACTGGTGTGAAACTTGTCTGAGCTTGAATGCTTTGTAGTACAGTTTATTATATGAACCTTACTCACAATTTAAATTAATGACCTGTTACCTGGATCCAAAGTCACTTATATGTCCATTTCTGCAGGTATGAAATCTATGTGTTTTGTTAGAACAACCGGAGCTTTTGTTGGATCCAAGCCCCCATAGTCGAGTCTCCAGCATTGTGCAAATGCTTACTGCAGGCCTTCCCCACCAAGAAGACCACTTCTGCAATGTTGAGTAGAATACAGACCCCTGACACAGCCAGCATGAACACGGTGAAGACAGTCTTCTCTGTGGGCCTGGACACAAAACAGTCCACTGTGTTGGGACAGGGGTACGAGTCACACTTCACCAGCCGGATCATCTTGTAACCAGGGTAGATCATATAAAACAAATACATAAAGGTGACCTCAAAGACAATGCGGAACAGCAGGCTGATGACGTACGTCCACCAGAGAGCCCCTGTGATTTTCATCTTCTGGGTCTTTATTTGCTCCAGGTCTTTGGGGTTGGTCCGCCCTGATAGTTTGTAGAGCCTCTTGTCGTGGTGGCGGCGATGGGCCACATGCATGGCTACCAGTAGGGCAGGAGTCGAGACCAGGATGAGCTGGAGCGCCCAGAGGCGGATGTGCGAGATGGGGAAGAAGTGGTCGTAGCAGACGCTGTTGCAGCCGGGCTGCTGGGTGTTGCAGGTGAAGCCAGACTTCTCATCACCCCACACACTCTCTGCTGCAACCACCAGAACCAGTATGCGGAAAATGAACAGGACAGAGAGCCAGATGCGACCGATGCCTGTGGAGTGTCTGTTCACGCCGCTGATGACAGCATAAAATGATGCCCAGTTCATCTTTGGTTCAGGGTCTGATGGAGAAAGTGTGAAAAACATATCAAAGGCACGAAAGCAGATAGAATATTGTGCTGGATTTTGCTTTCTCTTGTTGTAATTTAAGTTTTTCCAACATAAATAATAAATCCTATATAAAATACATAATGCAACACAAGACAAAACAAACTTATGGTAAATCATTAAGACATTCTTTAACAGACTAAAGACAGCAAATCTGGGCACAAAATATAAACCAGTAAACAGAAATAAAAGTACAAATATAATACAACATAAACACAACATAAAAACAACATAAATGTAGTATTTTCATCCTGTTTTGTGTCTTTCTCTGTATAAATAAAAAAATGAAACGAAACCTCAGACCTTTCCTTGATGATTATTAGCATCTGAAATAAGAGATTCAAAAGAGGCAAAATAAATGTCTCTCATTAATTCGAACTTTTCAGCAAAATCCAGCTTTATCTGACTTTCCCAAGAGACCTGCCTGGTTCTCTGAACAGCTGGGAAGATTCTGTAGCAGTGGTTTATGTAACCACTCTCCAATTCTTTTGAAAACTTGTTTTACTCAAAAAGGATAAACAAAAGGATAAACAAAAGAACATTCCCACATTAACTAATTAAAAGTATCTTGTTACTTTTTAAATTTATGTAATACAATTACAACAGTAATGCTCATCCACAAGTCCCATTTTTTTTGTTGAAGTGGGGTATAATAATACCTGTATGATTCTGTAGTCTGTAAATTGGCTGACTGCATCTCTGAGTGACGACCCGGCAGTGGCCACCCATACATCTACTGTATTTAAATTCAGATGCCTTTGCCAAATATTTCTAAATTTTTCACAATTACCATACATTCTTTTTTTTTTTTTTAAGATTGAGGCCGAGTGGCCTGTCCTGGACAAATTAAGATAAAAAATTATATTATAATAAAAATAAATATTAAAATTAATTTATCCAGTGGCTTCTCTTTCAATAATAGAATCTTTTAAGCTACTTTCTCTGCAAAAATGCCAACCAAACTTTCTCTAGTTCCAGCTACTCGATTGTGAGGATTTGTTGCTTTTGTTTGTCTTTCATAAATATACTTTCATAAAAATGAATTGCACACTTTATACTTTTATGACACATTAGTAAATCAATTTGTCCAAAACGTTTCCAAAGGCTAAAAGGCATCCAAAAAGTGTTATCTTGTCTGTTCAGTCTAGTGTAAATGTCAGAGTTGTTACCCGGCTCAGCAGGAGGTGTAAGAGGCATAGGAGGCAGTGTACAGGACAATGTAGACCCGCTGGCTTGGCATGGATGTGAATCCTGAGAAGAAGGAAGCCTCTCTGCCCCCCTCTGCAGTTGGCAGGCCACTTAAGAGTGCAACACTAAAGTCTGGCACCATGCGTCATGTGACAGACTTTCACCAGTCGTCATGGTGTAGCATGCAAAGAGGGCATCTGCACCCAACGTAACAGTGTCTGTGATACTCTCTAATTCTTGGCAGGAAAATCATTTGTGGTCCAAAAGTGTCTTGATCACGTACTTTAGAGAAGAAATCTTTTGGTTCTAAACGTAATATAATCTGTCTAGTGGACTTTGCAGCCAGTGTCTGAGGGACAGCAAAATAGATACTGTTTTATTTGATTATCACCATAAGAACATTTTTTGGTTGAAATTTCTAGAATATACTTGCTGGAGTGTCACAGTTTTATCTGTAAGTCTTTAAGGAATTTTCCCAAACTCTTCAGATTCAAGTTCAGACATAACATTAAGCATAAACTACTCATAAACACAGATTTACCCAGCTGAAGACACTGAGAACAAGTTGTCTATCACTTTCTCAGCTACATCATCTGATAACAGAGTTAAGTGCAGACTTACCCTCAGTTGTAGTTTGGAATAAAGCACATCCAGAAACATTTACGTTGACATTAGCAGATTTTTTTTCAACCTGTGACTGTGAACGAGAGTATCAGAGCACCATGACTTTGCATTGCTAATGATTTCTCTCACACTAGCCACTGCCCTGCACTGGAAAGGTCATATGCTTCTGTGCGCAATATTTGCATACAATAGCCCCATTTACAGGGGCCAAACAAACGGCTTCAGAATTCAGATCAAACGTTTTAATTTCTGCCCAGCTGAGGAATCTGTGTGGGGACTGCAGTCTGTACTCTTGTGCTTATTGTGCTGTGCTCCGCAGAGGAAGTGGAGGGTGTTTTTGACGCAATGTGGAGTAAAACATAAAGGTCTAAAACAAAGAAAGACCCATAAAATCTAAAGATAAGAGCACAAGAGTTTATTATCATAATAATCACTCTCCCATCTAGTTTTTTCCTCCTCATCCTTTATATTCATATTGTTGGTGCCCGCCTAATATCTAACCACTGATTTAATCGTCTCACTCTGTGACCAAGCACAGTTTGACGTATTTCTGTGGGAATAAATATTTGTTTTTTAGACTGAATAACCTATTTAGCTCACTGTTATTAGCACTGAGGTGCTACAGACCACAAAATTCACACAATCATTTTATTTTGCATGTTTTGAGTCCTTCTTCCCTCCGATCCATAGGAACAGTTAGTGTGTTGGTACAGTACTGTTATAATTTACTGCCATTTTATGGAAACACTCAGATACAACAGCAAGGAGTTGCTCCAGAGGCGTGTGACCTCTGACATATATAGTAATTGTAAGTCGCTTTGGATAAATATAATGATTTGACATATACAATCCCTGCATGTAGTTAGTGTCACACCTATTTTAAACTAATGTGTCACAGTCATAATCACAACAACCAAAGCACAACAATGGCTAAGGCCATAATCACAATGACAGCAACGGCCAAAGATATATCATCCAGTGACTGTAGTCATAATCTCATTACCTGCCTCAGTCAGCAGTCAGTGAGAGAGCTAGGTTAACTAGCTCTGATGGTTATCTATCTAGCTGCAATGATACCAACTGTGTGGTCACAACCAACGGCGGTCCACTACATAATACATAATACTGTACTATGGAGGTAACGTAAAACTTATTCCAAGGGAGCGCAAAATGTATTACGTGTGTAATGTGTGTAATCAAATGCTGTCATGACTGGAGTGAGCAGAACAATGATGATTGGACCCAAATGCAGACAAATAGGCAAACTGCATTTCAGGTGGACACAGGTAGAGAGGCAAGTATCGATACAGGTCCGGGTTAAAGTTTGGGTAGAGGTAGCAAAAGCTTGAAAGCAAATACACAAGACATAAAAAGCAACATTGCAACAACAATCTGGCAGAGGAACAAATGATCTGGACCAGTATACATAGAGTGTGGCAGATAAGGGAATGAGGTACAGGCGGGGAGACTAAAGGGTAACATAGTTTGAGCGGTATGTGAAGTGTTGTCATGCTTTTCTATGTAAGCTACTACTACTACTAACTCACTGGGAGCAAAATATGACTTTCATGCCCATAAAATGTACAATAATTCAATCTGATTTCAGTCTCTGGGCTGGGTGTGAATAATGTATCTGTCATGCTATTATTATAATTAATGTTTTAGTCATGTGTTTTATCATATTATCTTCAAATATCAGCATAGCTATCAATGTTTCTGTTTCTGTTACTCTGACTTACACAATATGTTAACACACTGTATTAAGGGGACTCACCTCTCACTTTTGGACAAATAGCAGACCCCCCCCCAATTTAAAATTTGGTCAGTGTAAGGCTAGGACATCTCCAGGTGATAAATGGAAATCAATGCAAGTCCTCCCAAGTGTATTTGTGTACCAAGAGATGTAATATACACATTCCCATGGGATGCCAAGAGGATTTGTTATCTATCATGACCTGTTCTGTAACAGCTCTAACATTCCTGGTGTTGTTTTATAAAGAGAACCTGAAGAGAAGTTTTGGGGTGAGCTGTGTTTCTGATCTGTACATGAAGCGTTTCCCAAAAAACTGATCAATTATCAGTTCCCGGTACAAATATCAGTGAGCTAGGATATAAATGTAGTGATACTTATTTGGCAGACTTGGGGATGTTTTGACTAACTGAATTCTAAATACTTGTAATGTAATTGGTGGATTCAAATAAAGCATTTAAAATTGTGTGTGACACACACACACACACACACACACACACACACACTGCTTCAGTTCAGTCTGAAGGACGACATCTGGAGGCCATGAACAGTTATTGCAACATTTCATTAATTATTCCCTCTATAGAGAGGAAAGCTCTACAGTGAATTCATTATTTTGAAAGTGGCACCAGCAGCAATTTGTTTATTGATCCGATTCTAAATTTGTCAGGTGCAACTAGTCAACACAGGCCTCTCAGGAGAGAAACATGTCTGCAGGGTGAACAACATACCTGTGAAGAATTTATTTGAACTCAAATAATTTTTCAAAAGCGTGTTGTTAACCCTCTGGATAGGAATGAGAACCTGTAGAGTACAGTGGCTATCAGAGTGTGTGAGGGTTTTTTTCTTCTACACCTTGAACTGATTTTAGGGGCGTTAACTAAACTCTGAAATAATGTATAATTGCTACATTATATCGTAAAATAAACACTCAATCTTGGGCACAAAGATATGTTTTATTTGAAAAATAGGTGAGAACAACAACCAGTTCTGTTTAATTGTCTTTCAATGGATATTGGTAGTGGCATGTCAGGGACGTTGTACCCAAATGAGTACAATCATGTGATTACATTGATTTCAATTGTCTAGATATCTTGCAGAATTACTGTAGCTGTGTGCTGTAAGGTAAACTTCAGTGCTTGTGCAAACTGGTTAAGCAGCCTGTGCAACAAAGACCAGTTTTATTATCATACTGCAGGAACACACCTAGTCACATGCAGGTGTGACCTGTCTCACTGTGGATTAATCACGAGGTTCTCCTGATAAATTCAGGTGCGTCTGTATCATGAGCTGCTTTGAATTTACAGTTATTTTCCTCCAACACACATTGCAACAGTAGCTGGGATTAAAGATCACACAAGTATTGTTAATTTTTATCATTCATTATTTATTATTTTCAGGGAAGACCACATTCATGCTAGGTGGTGTTCACCACCTGAATGTATCCCATTTTTCAGTCATAAACCCACTTCTCTTAAGGCAGTTAAAATATTACTATAATAAAAAAATTTTATAAATGATTTTGTGTAGCAGAATGTTTCAAATCTTTTATCTTGACCCCTCAAATTTAGCTCAAAAAATGTAGAAAATGTCTTTACCGTATCTACTAATTATCTGCTATTTGCATCCCTAATAAAAATGCAATATAAAGCACAATGTAATCTCTTTTAATTTCTTCTTCTTCTCCCTCTTTTCTTACAGAAATATGCAACTCAAATGCTTCTTATTGTAAAAGGTATTTAACAATTAACAGGACGGAAAATAAATGCTAGGCTAGCATACATTTACTCCGATCGTGTTGTGTAGGCCTTTGTATTTGTTTACAGTAGCTTCATTATACAGTAAATACAGCACTATGCAAACGTTGTAGGCTTCTGCTAGTTCTTAGCTGATGGCACTGCTGAGCATCTTCCGATTGCAAAGGGAAGTAAGCATGATGTGTCTTTCATCTGCTGCAGTAAGTTCCTTTGCCGACCACTGCGTCTGCTGTCCTCAACATTGCCAGGTTCTTTGTGCTTCTTTAAAAGAGCTTGGACAGCACATCTGGAAACCCCTGTTTGCCTTGAAATGTCTGTCTTGGAGAGACCTTGCTGATGCAGAATTACTACCTTGTGTCCTGTTGCTGTGCTCAGTCTTGCCATGGTGTGCCACTGACTTTTGACAGTAAACTGTCTTCAGCAGCCTTGTTAGTTGAGTTTGGCTGTTCCTCACCCAGCTGCATTCTTCCTACACAACTATTTCTATTTCTATGACTGCTATTGAATTGGTGATCATTAGCATCTGTTTGGCATAATTGTTTTATCATACACCTGATGATATGCCTACAAAATCCCTGACTTTGTGCAAGTGCACCTAGAAGAATTGAGGCTGTTTTGGAAGCAAAGGGTGGTCACACTAAAAATTGCATTCTTACTTTACAGCATTTTCCCACACTCGCCTAAAACATTTTCACAGTCCTATATATACACACTTATACATAGAAATATGTAAACATAATTTTTATTGTTAAAAAAAAAAAATTAATCACCATGCTATTACTATTTGCTAAATCCCACTTTCTCAGTTGTTATTACCGATTTGTCTGACAGGTTTCCCGAGAGCACTTGAATGCAGCATCGTCAACACAATTACTCCAACTGTGCAGCTGCCCCTTTAAGAACCTCCTGGGTGTGGAAAGGGGGGACGTTTTTAGCGAGTTACGTCCCATTCAGCTTTGTGTTACGCGCTTTGTAAACATGTGATGTGCATGGCATCTTTGTTGGAAAAAAT